GGTGTGTATGGCTGGCACCTTAGCCGCTTGAGCCACAGGCGCCGAGCTGATATTACTTTCTAATGCTCAATATTTAACCTGCTGCCAGTTCTTGGAGTCTAGTCTGCCCATTGCCAAGCATGGAACCTGAGCTGAAGAGTCTATAAGATCCGGCCCAAGGACTTCCCAGGAATTGGATCTAATCTACCTCTCTCCCCAAGTCTCACCAGGGGCTCTTCTCTCACCTGAAGCTGAGTGGGACTCCGTCCACCCACCGGTATCCCTGAATCTTGCTCTGGTGTCCTACAGCCCTCAGGCCCAGCCAGTAACCTTGGCCATGTGTATTCTGAGTCAGGAAAATCTGAAAAAGAGGGCAGACAGGGGGCCAGCAGAGTGTGCCACGCCTCCCTCAAGGGAACACCATCTCTCCTGTGCACACCTGCTCATCTATGCCCCTGACAATCGCCAGGTGTGTGCCTGCATTTGCATAGTGGCGCTGAGCCTCTGTCCACGTAGCCTTAGACACCAAGAAATAATAGCAGGAGCCCTCAAAGGACAGCCACAATGAAGGACATAAGTTGCAGGAGCCTGCAGGGTGGTGAGGGTCAGAGAGGCAGATGGCTGCCGGAATGGACGTGAGGGTGGGTTTAGAACACTGGGGGGCCAGGGGTGCAGCCTCAAGCCAAGGTCAAAGAGTCATGCCAGGTGGATCCAGGAACACAAAGCCCAAGAGGAGGGTTCGCCTAACCCTGCCCCTCATCCCCACCCCCTTGCTCACTGGACTGGAGCTTGACAGCTTCCAGCACCCGGAACAGCTCATGGCGGACATTCTCGCGGTTCCTACCCCTTCAGCCAAGCCCTGGGTCACTGCAGAGTTAAAGAGGTGGAGATTATAGCTGGGGTTAGCTATAATCAGGAACAGGGGCATGGATCCCTGCCCCTAAAGACCAGGATCCCTGCCCATGGTCAGTTCAACGTTGGTGACAGGGACAAGACATCAGGATCGAGGACTGGGCTTAGGAGTTATAGTCAAGGTCAGAGTCCAGAGGTCAGGCTGGGGACAGGATTGAGGTTAGAGGTTAGCACCACAGGATGGGTCTGGGTCAGGGTTGTGGTCCATCTGGCCCTCACTGTGTTGGCACAGTTCTTCCAGGGCGCTCTCCTGCTGGGTCAGCTCAGCCCGCTTCTCCCTGAGTGGCCAGCAGCTGCACTTGAGTCCTAGAGCCTGGGACAGGCCAGGGTGGCGGTGGGGGTGGGTTGGAAGGGACAGAGAAGGCCAAGATGGGGCAGGATGTGTGATACTGCCTCACTCCACCCATACTAGCCCAAGCCCCAACCCGCCATCATAAATCTCGCCCCTTCCTCCTCCTCCAATCCTGGCCACCAACCTCATCCCAATCACCCACCGGCCTAGGCCAAGCCCCCTGTCACAGCAGCTGCTGCAGGCTCTGACCTCCTCCTTCAAGGTCTCCAGTGCCCCTGTCTGCCTCTTAGCTGGAATGACCCCCGCCATCCCACCGCACCCCCAACAACAGGTCACCTGCGGGGAGTCAGGGAACATTCTTCCCAGGCTAGGGACTGCGGGATCGCCACACACCCTCTAACTATCCGGTTTCCCGGGTCCCAGGCACCCGTATAGCCTATGGCTAGGAGGAGTGAGAGTTATAGGAAATACCTGTAATGGAACACCTGGGTGAAAAGGGCATGGAGAGAGATTTGGTTCTAACTACCACGAGGGAGGTCGCGAGATGAGAGCATTGGTGAATTGGCAGTCTCTACACCTGTGGTGTTGAGAAGCACGAGCTCAGCCTTATATTAGGCTGGAGGAGGAGGCAGTCAGGAGCATGCACATTCTATCACGGTCCGCTTACTCTGACTCTGTCTCCTCTCCTGCCTGCAGAACGCCAGCACGGTGTCTCTGCTGAAGATTACCAAGCTCTGCTAAAGACTAAGAGCTATCTGTTCTAAGAAGACCTTTACTCTCTCTAAGATATTCTGTCTCTCTCTCTCCAGCTAAAGTAGATAGCCCTCAGGCACCTACGAGAAACTGTTCCTGAGCAAGGTAGCTTAGTTGTCCGTGTCCAGAACCTACCTAAGCTGGGCCCGAGACCTGGCCAGTCCTGGACCCTGACACCCTGCACTCCATCGAGGCTGCAGAGAGAGGGCACTTGGGAACCTTCCCCTGGCTCAGGGGATGCAGGGATCCTGGTCCTCAGATCGCAGAAGGGGCAGGCAGGCAGGTAGGTTTACAGTGCATATGATGTGCACACACGCTCACGGGAGACAAACCCGTGGGGACACGCACACACATACGAGCACACATGCTACGTGACCTCTTCCACTGGACAACAGGATGCTCAAAATGAGAGCCCACAGGATTATGCCGACCAGGACAACCAGGGCCAGGAAGCAGGATCTCTGGCTCCTCTGTTTCCAGCATCCTCAGTGCCCTGGGCAAGCATGGATGGTTTGTTCAGAGAGGTTAAGTAACTTGTTTAGGGACACACAGCCCCTATGTGGCAGAGTTGGAATTTGGATCCTGGCCTGACTGGTTCCATAGACTAAGGTATCCTTCTAGGATCTACTACCTGGACCCCTGTTGGGGTCTTCCCCTCCCCTCCCACGTAAAACCCTAGTTGAGTTTTATACTGGAGAAAGGAGGGATCCAAGAGGCTGGATGAGGCAATCCATTGCTCATAACTTTGGGGACATCCTTGGGCTCGCTGTCCCACTTGCTCTACCTGCTAGTGTTCATGGTGGTGTGTGCCCAGCCTTGGGCAGAGATATAAATGTGACCCCTATCCCAGCCCTACCCACTCTGTTTTCCTTCCTTCCCATTTCTGTGGCCTCAGTTCCCAGTAACAATTACAAGGCTGGGCTCTTTCTGGCCTGGGTTGAATGCAAGGGGACAGTTCCAGATTCCCTGGCCCAGTGGCTGTAGCTTCATATGTACAACCCAGGCTGGTGCTGGGGCTTCTCTCTAGAGAGGTCCCCATATCCTTTTTTTTTTCTTTTGATAGAGACAGTTTTATTCTATCACCCTCGGTAGAGTGCCATGGTGTCACACAGCTCACAGCAACCTCCAACTCCTGGGCTGAGGTGATTCTCTTGCCTCAGCCTCCCGAGTAGCTGGGACTACAGGTGTCCATCTCAACACCCAGTTATTTTTTTGTTGTTGTTGCAGTTCAGCCGGGGCTGGGTTTGAACCTGCCACCCTCCGTATATGGGGCCAGGGCCCTACTCACTGAGCCACAGGCGCTGCCTGAGGTCCCCATATCTTATGGACCTAGGGCTGGGTTTCCTTTTGGGAGGGACACACTGAACCTAGCTATATTCTGACCACACTCTTCCTGAGAAAGCCCCTTCAGGCATGATCTGCAGGACAGTTCAGCTCCCCTGCAGATGCCTACCAGAGGCTGGGTCTGACCAGGCCCTTAATTCAGTCCCTCTCTACCAGAAGAGGAAAAGCAGATTTTGTTGGAGGTGGTGTTCAGCTAAGCTGCCTTCTGTACCACAGGTAGGTAGCAGATGGTGGTATGTGTAATAGATAGCTTTTAGAAGCCTCAGTTTTCTGCTCTGTGAAAAGGAGGACAGTGACAGGGCCTCCCTCAAAGGGACATTGTGAAGAAGACATGAGGCTGTGCGTGTCTACCTAGCCCCATCTCAGGCACATTGGAAATACTAAATGTTCTTGCATTTTTTCAATAGGTACTGCATCCCCACCCTGTGCCAGGCATTGATGTGGGAACTGGGGCTAAATCAGAGAGCAAAATGAATAAATTCTTCTCTTTTTGGAGCAAACATTCTAGTCAGGAGTGGGGGGAGGCAGACCCCGAATTAAACATAGTGAGCATAATTTTTAAAAGTAAATTGTATAGAATGGTGGTTTCCACCAGGGGGCAATTGTGCCCACTAGGGAACATTTGGCAATGCCTGGAGACATTTTTGGTTGTCACAAGTTGGGGTGTGTGTGAAATTCTGTCATCTAGTGGGGTACAGGCCAAGGTTGTTGCTCAAAGCCCTGCAATGCGTGGGGGGACTCCAAACATAGAATGATCTGACCCCAAAAGTCCATAGAGCCAAGAGTATATTATATGAAAAGTTCTAAGTGCTAGTGAAAAGAAAAAAGAAGGAAAGAAAAGTTTGGCAGGATACAGGGATTGGAGAGGGCTGGGATAAACCAGTGAGCAGAAAGTGTGGTGACCGGGATGAGCCTGGCTGACAAGGCAAAATATTATTATCTTTTTAGTGGAGCACTGGTGAGGTCCTACAGATACAGTAACACACCCTATCTTCTTAAACCTCTCAATATGCCTCAGAAGTAATATACATTATCCACGTTTTATTTTTAAAAAGTTATTTAATGCCTGTTTTCTCATCTTATTCCAGTAATGAGACAGATATCAGTGATGAAATATAATGAAAAAACAAGAGGATATTTTTAATAAAAAAGGAAGAAAAAGGAGAAACGGAAGTAAGGCTGGGAACATAGGTCTAACAGATTGGGCTTGTAACAAAATTTAGACCAGGGGACCAGATTCCATAAAAACATCTCCTGGTCTTGTTGCAATAGGAAATAAGGTCAGATACCTGGTGACGTGCAATGAATTCTTTCAAAGCATTGTTGAGGACACGTAGGAATAAGTCCTCATGAAAATTTCCATAACTACAGTACGGTTACCTGCCACTATGTCAAGGGTATATGACTGCATGGCCAGCACAGTTTTAGTAAAAGCTGGTGGCCTCAATTCAAAGCAAATGATTGTCACCACTATTGGGGTTGCTTTAGCATGTTTCAAGCACCAGTAATTTTGAGATGCTGGAGGGAATTTAGTGGAAATACAGGAAAACAGTGCCACAATTATTAAATAAAATAACACTAAGAAAACATTGTGAGTGCCTATAATGAACTTCAATATCTGGAAGAAATAGTTTTTTTTGACAAAACACAACCCAAGTAAGAATAGAAAGTCTGAACAGACAATAACCAAGAAGAGAATAAAAAGGTGATAGAAATAGATTTTTTAAAAAAGTTAATGTGTGTATTTTGAATGTCTAAAATTCTTTTCCTATGTACCCTACCAGAGAATCTAATATTTCAAATAAAAAGGATAAAATGAAATGTATATGAGTATCTCAGAGTAATCCCAACATTTATCAGGAATTTGTAGAAATTTAATTGTTGGTAATACGACCTCATTCTTAATCTCCCAAACACTAAATTACCTCTTTATTTTCTTTTTATCGTTATATAACTCCAAAAATAATTCTTTGTCACTAGAAATGTTTCTATGTTGTTATTTTCTGAATATTTACACATTTGGCTACTTGGAAGAGATGCTGTCAATATTCTTCAGAAGCCAAATGAAGATAAAATAGAGAGAAAAACCTTCTAGAAACCATAAATATTTATACCCAAATAAAACTTGTACTTAAAGAAAAAAAAAAGGTAATAGAAGAACTAATGTTCTAAAAAGGGCACATGGACCAGACAGTGTTATAATCTGTCCATGATTCTTAGATTCCTGGTTTTGTATTGCTTCAGGCTTTTTGATGGTGACTCTCCAGTTGACTGGATAGGTCTTAGTTTGTTTTCCACCACCTTTTTTTTTTTTTTTTGAGACAGAGTCTCACTTTGTCATCCTTGGTAGAGTACTGTCATGTCACAGTTCACAGCAACCTCAAACTCTTGGGCTCAAGTGATTCTCTTGCTTCAGCCTCCTGAGTGTCTGGGTCTATAAGTGCCCACCACAACTCCAGGCTATTTCTATAGATGAGGTCTCGCTCTGACTCAGGCTGGTCTCAAACTTGTGAGCTCAGACAATCCACCTGCCTTGGCCTCCCAGAGTGCTAGGATTACAGCCTTGAGCCATTGCACCTGGCCTTTCCACCACTTTCTTAACTGTGTTTACTGCTCCGATTTCTACAACCCTCAAGCCTAATATAATACTCAATAGGCAGGCACCAACTCTAAGGACATTTTCTTGAGATCTGGGCTAATCCCAATCTCTCTCTACCTGCAACCTGCACAGTGGGACAGGATTTGTATCAGGAAGTGTTGCGTGGAGGTGTGCATGATGCATCACAGCATGATGCTATACAATCCCGCAACGGAATTGCATTTTGAATAAGGAAGACTGGAGGCTCGCTCTGGCAATCCAGCAAAGCTCTTTATTCTAACAAAGGTTATATAGAACATACTGCATGTACACACTATAAATCAATAAATAAGTGATCTAAACCTCCTGACACAAGCCCTGGTGCCAAAGAGCCTGTTAATTAACAGCTAGCCATTCCACTGGCCTTATCTGAAGCCATTCTCAAGTCTTAAAGTAAAACAAAACCATAAAACAAAGTTCTGGGGGAATAAGCTGATTGAATGCTTGACATTCAGCAGACCATCTGGAGACAGTCATTCATCATAGGAAGTAGTCTGGAGATTCCTGTGATATACCGGGGGCCTCCCTGAAGCTCAGCCCTAAATCATTTCTACATGATAAGGTCCTGAACCACATGGGGAGTGCTACCCAAGTCTCTCAACATTCTAACTCACAAAAGATTTCAAACTTGCGCTCACAAAATGGGACTGTTTGAAGGCTTACTTATAGGCCATCCACCTATAATTCTCCCTTTTGAATTTGACATTATGGTCTTGGGCATTTGAATTATTCATCATTAATGCAAAAATTGTGGCGTGTCGTTTATTCTCTTGTTTGGTTTGATTAAATTTCTTACACACAATGCATTAGATCAAACACAAAATTAATAACAATGCAAATGACCGGACAGAACTTCCAATCAAACCATTAATCTTTGGTAGTGGGTTCATTCGTTCTATTCTATCAGCAATTCTTTTTAGAATTTCATCTCCATCAATCTTCTCTAACTTATGTTGAAAAGTAGAATAAACCTCATGTTGTAAATTCACAATATCAACAGTTAAATTCTCATGATTCAACAAATATTTTTTCACTTTTTCCCAAGGGAACTTAGTTTCATTATAAATAACGGGGTAATACAAAAAGATGTTATATTCCTGTCACATTTTAGCTTTATCTATTTCTTTAAACTGACCAATTCATTTCCCAACATAACAACAGCTTGTTCTAAGTCTGACAGTTCATTATAAATTTCGTTATCAATCTGTTTTTGAGCAATCCATAACTGTTTAGAGTTCTTGTGGCAATTGGCAATAAAATTTTGGGTCTTAACATTTTCTGTTAAAGCAATACCAGCAGTTGCAGCTCCAGCAATCACAGCAATGATCTCCAAGATGGCAGCAACAAGCAGGCCAATGAAGCATCTGCTTCTCAGGATCTTGTCTGCCCAAATCTGCAAAATTGATAGTGCTGGTGATTTCTGCTACAGTCAGGTCAAGTTGATTGGCAGCCACACTCTGGTTTGTGCTCTCAGCAAATACAACTCTTCCTTAGAAGGATCAAAACTCAAAGAATTGTTAATTCAAGTAAACATTTGACAAGTTGAACAATATGATTCTCCTGTTGATTTATTCCAAATGACATTTCCTTTTAACCACACAAAAGGAAGTTGCAAACAAACTTGGATGTATTTGGTGTATTTACCATAAATTTAATTTGATATTCACGGAGGTCTTTGATATAATACAATCCTCCAGTCCAAGCCTTTAGAGGTTGTAATGCTGCAGCAACTTTCCACAAGTGTGTTTGTTTTGGATATGCTGTAATGCCATGTGATGGTGAAAATCCACGATTACTCCAGGACATGTGCTGAGAA